GGATGGTAAATACTCCTGGTCAAATATAAGGAAATGTTTAAAGATGCAGGAATTAAGCTAAAATCAGGTATAATGAAAGCTCAAGACCACTATGAGCTAAAAGTTGACAGTATAGAAACTCATAAGAGTTTAACTGCATTACTTAATGCCAAAGGAATGAAATATCACTCATTTATTTTACCTGAAAACAAGAAGGTTAAAGTTGTTATACGCAGCTTACCAATTGACACGCCAACCTCAGAGATAGCTGATGAACTGATAGATAGAGGTTTCCCAGTTGAATGAGTCTCGCAATTAGTAAGACGCAGAAATGGAGAAAAATTTAATCTGCCCCTGTTTCTAGTTATTTTGAAGAGGAATGAAAAAGCGAGAGGGATACATAATATAACTAAATTATGTTTGCTGAATGTTAAAGTAGAAGCTTACAAAGGAAGGAAAGGGCCGGTACAATGCTTTCGGTGTCAAGCATTTTATCATGCCCAGGCAGGATGTATGCATGACCCGAAATGCATGAAATGCGCTGGCGATCATTATTCAAAAGACTGCCCCAAGCCAAGAGAAGATAAACCTAAGTGTATAAATTGCCAATTAGATCATACAAGACACTACAGGGGTTGCCTGAATTTTCCCAAAATAAATACTCAAAATCCGCCTTTGAAGAATTTCAGTGATAGAGTAGTTATTAATAAATCTTATGCCGCCGCTGTTAGCGGGCAAACCGCGAATACTCTAGATGAAGCTAGAAGTATTTTTGAAGGACTTAAAAACCTTGTTAAGGCTATTAAGGTCTCTGGCATTCTACAAGTAAATTTAGCTCCTAGCGCAAATGCTAGTGGTTTCAACGCGGACAATAATGAACCCAATCATGGATAGGGAAGGCAATAAGTTTAGGCCAATCAAGATGTTAGTGTGGAACGCTAAGAACTTGAGAGGAAAGAAAGATGAGTTGGAGGACTTTATGTACGAGAACGACATTGATATTTGCCTCATCTGTGAGACGCACATCACCCCCAGGAGACGAGTTAGCATCAAAAATTATAGAACCTACCGATGTGATAGGTTACACCACAGAGGAGGAAGAGCACTCATCTACGTTCATTGTAAATATTCATCTTGTTTAATTTCGAAGACAAGGGCTATGAAATTGTGGCTGCCTCTATTAACTTGCTTAAAATAAGAGATACCTTATTTGCAGGTATCTACAACCCCCCCCCCAATAATAGGCTAACTGAGGAAATGTTACAAGATATTATTCCCGATTCCTCAATAATGATTGTTGGTGGCGATCTCTAAAGTAAGCATAAAGATTGGAGCTGCCGCAGCAACAACCACAATGGTAAAATACTGAGAGAGTATATCAGTAACCACCCAGTTGGTATTTTTGCGCCTGACGTGCGACATTCAGGCCCAGCACATCAGGTACACTCCTGATATTCTAGATATCATTTTGTCTAATACAGGAATTAATATGGTGCTGGAGGTTCGAGACGACTTAAGCTATGATCATACTCCTGTGATTGCTACACTAGGGTCACCAGTATTAATTATACTAATGTTAAGACCATACCAACTGGAGAATGTACCATAATGTTGTGAAAGTTAGGCTCCCTAAATTAGGTGCTATGAAAAGCCCTTCTGATATTGACAAGGAGATTGATAAGTTTACTACATGGTCTTAATGACTCTTACTATGAGGCCACCAAGGTTACTCAAAGGTCTTGTTAAAATCGCTAAAATTCCAAGGGTACATCAAATCTCTCATAGCCGAAAGAAAGAAACGGCTGCGAAGGGGTATAATATCACCTGGGACCCAATTATTAAAACAGAGTTAAATAGGATCAGTAAGCATATTAAGTTTGAAATGCATAAATTAAAGTATGAGGCTTGGAATGATAAAATGGAGGAGTTAAACTTAGACAGTGATGCCATTCTGGCAGTTTACAAAAATGGTTAAAGAGGACCACATCAGTGTGATAGGCCAATTATTGCCAACGGCGTGACTGCTTATTCAGATACTGACAAATGTCAGATTTTCGCTTCACATCTTGAAAAGCAGTTTTCTCCCAATCAGACACCTCGTAATTTTCACTTTGAGACCCAAGTCAGAATGAAAGTAAAAGAATGGCTAGGTGCTCCCACGGTTCTAAATGCCAATGGTTTAACTAATCCAAGAGAAGTTATGGATATTATCTCCAAATTGAACCCCAAGAAAGCCCCAGGTATTGATGGAGTTACAAATTTAATGATCAGGAACCTCCCGCACGGTGGAATCACAAGACTTTCCAGCATTTTTAATATATGCATTACGTTTTGCTACTTCCCGGACTGCTGGAAGTATGCAAAAGTTTTCCTACTACCGAAGCCTGCAAAAGACATTACTAAGGCAGAGAATCACAGGCCCATAAGCTTGCTCTCTAATATAGGCAAGATCTTTGAACGAATAATTTTTAGGAAATTCCAGCCTTATTTACAGGTACTTCCGGAAGATCAGTACGGATTTAGGAGCGAACTTTGCACATCTAAACAACTGATTAGGCTTGTGGAATTTATCGGCTCTGCTTTGCATCATAAGAGTTGTACTGCAGTGCTTGTGCTAGACGTGGCCAAAGCATTTGACCGTGTCTGGCATGAGGGCCTAATATATAAATTGATAATGATGAATTTGCCTAGAGAACTGATCTTACTCACCAGATCTTATATTGCAAATCGTTACTTTACTGTTAGCTGCAAGCAAAGTCATTCTGGATACAAAACTATCGCTGCAGGCGTCCCCCAGGGGTCCTGTCTTAGCCCAGTACTCTATCTTTTCTATGCGGCTGATTTCCCGCAGGATAAACTCAACAGAAATACATTGCTGGCCTGCTATGCGGATGACACCGCTGTAGCGGTCAGATCTATTCAGCCTAACAGGGCAATTTCTGTTATGTAGGATATAATTATGGACATTGAGAAGTGGTGCTCCAGGTGGAAGATTTCCATCAGTGCGACTAAATCACAGCTACTTCTTGTTAGAAGGAAGAAAATACTGGTCACAGTTCAGCCACTTTACCTATTCGGCCAACGTGTCCCGATGGTAAACAAGGCCAAGTATTTAGGTATTTACTTGAATCGAAGACTCACGTGAAGTACGCATGTCAATTACATTGCAAACAAGACCAGAGGAATTGCTCAACAATTACAAGTACTGCTAGGACACAGCTCGCAGTTAGATCTGAGAAGGAAAAGACAGATTTATATTTCCATTCTAAGACCAATTATGTGTTATGCGTCCCCTGTCTGGGCGACTGCTACGAGCTCAGATATCAACAAATTGCAGGTGACTCAAAACACAATCTTACGCACCATTACAGGAGCACATTTTTACATCCGTAACAAACTCCTGCACGATGATTTACAAGTTGAATATATTGACAAATATCTGCAAAAACTTAACAGCAAGTTTTTTGACAAAGGTTTGAATTGCAGTAAAGGAAACTTTAATGCTGTACTGAACTATGTCTGCATTCCTGAGGACTACAATATCAGGCTTTTCACGGCTTACAGAATGAGGGATCACAATTTTGTCACTTAGCCCACTCGTTTTTAAATATGTAAATAACACATTTTTATGCGTACATTACTTCACTGTTCATTTGTTTATTACATGTTTCAACAGTGTATCCTATGCACATTTCATGTATTTTCCATTTCTTTTGCATCTTCATAGCTCCATACATGTGATTAATACTTCTTGTCTCTGGGGTAAGAGTTAAGTTACTTTGATGATGGGACTTTTGTCACTATGGCCGATGGGCCCTCTTTTTCCTTACCCGCTCCGATTTCCTCAGTCTGGGAAACTAGCTGATAGTTGACATTCTGATTGTCCTTGGATTAGATCAATATAGCTTATTAAAGCCCAACTGGGCTAATATAAGCGTAAGCAATTAGCATTTAAGCAGGGGCAGCTTCTTTACCAATAAATGTGGATGAACACATTGTTGATATTTATTATTATCTTGAAAGGAGTTCTAAAAGGAAGGGAAAATTGAAACAATCCATCCAAGTCTTCATTCAAGTTTTCTAATTGTAACAGCTGCATAACAGCAGTTTACAATTAGAAAACTTGGATGAAGTTATAAAATCAGCTAGGATTGACACCCAGTGGAGTTTAATTGGAAAAGTGAAAGGTGCTAATGGAATTGTAAAATATAGTGAACTGTCTAGAATTGTGTTGCCATCTTGACAGTTCCCCATAGTAATGCAGAGTGTGAGAGGATTCTCAGTGTTGTTGCGAAAACTAGGACTATATTTATATCTAATATTAGTGATGACACATTCGAAAAACTTTTATTAGCGAAAACAGGCCTATGTGGCAATTGCTGTGAACAAAATTATGAAGTTTCTTTCTTAAAGAAAGCAAAATCTGCCACTGTTTATAACATTTGTATAAAAGCTAATTGAAGTGTCTTTTTTTTTTTTTTTTCTTAAACGATGCAAGAAATAAAAATGTTTTTTATGTGTAAGGTATTTGTGTGTTGCTTGCATTTAAGAATTAGATACTATTTAAAGTTAATTCATTATTAAAAACTATATTTTTATCATTTAAAAAGTCTTTTTAACATTGTGAAAAATCTGATTTCTTAAAAAAATCTCCTGATTTTTGAGTGTCATAGGTTGGCAAGTATGTGGCCTTAAACATTACAGGTTTTTCAAATTATTGTGTTAAGAATGAGTAACATGTAACACTTTGAATTATAATAGAATGTATAAAAATTTTCGAAAGTAAGAGTTGGATAAGTATATTTTTAATCCTTATAAACATGCATTTACTGTTAGTATTCACCTTTATATTATGCAAATTTCATAAATATTGAAAAAGTCAAATGTTCTGCATTAAGTGTTTTTCTGATCTCTCTAGTTCCCAATCAAATTTCAGTTATAAGCGCTTCTTTTAATGCACTGCAGTTATTTTCAGAATTTCTGTATGATCTTTATAGAATTTTTATTCTTTTTTCTTACAGCAGTACTTTTTCTCAGAGAAAACTGTTACCTTCATTGTAACCTTATTAAAGGACCTTGGTTTTACAAAACTAGTTTTAATTGGAACTCCAAAGTAAGAAAGGTTCAATATTATCTTTTATCTTCACTGGTGCTTGTCAGTTTTGTGAATAGATGTGTTTTATTATCAAACATTTAGCAAACCCAAAACCAAGTAATAAGAATTGTTAAATCATTTTTTCCATTCGTAAGATTTTTTTTAAATTTTATCTTTCGGATTCAAAATGATGACAATTAAATTTGCTGTCAATTAAAATTGAAGCTATTATAGTTTCTCAAGGAAGGGTAGTTTACCCTTTACTAAAATTTGTGAAAACAAACATAAAGGAAATTTATATACTACTGCAGAAGCCATATGGAGATGCAAAGTAAAAAATTGATAGAAAATGGAATACCATTTCATCAGCAACTGGATCTCTTTTTCAGAAATCAGAGCAGTAAGCCCCTATTGTCAATTTATGGCAACTTTAAAAAAACGATTTTTTTATTTTATATGTATGTATTCTAACTATTTGCACTACCCACCAAAAAGTCACAAACTCATTGCCGACTTTGGAGAACATTTGCGAATTAATTTGTGACTAATTTCTCATCAAGCTTATGTGCAAAAGGCAACAATTATTTTCGAATGATAATGCAAATACAATCAATCAGTAAAATTAGAAAAACAAGAAGCAATGATAATAAAATACTTACCTTTTTCAAGTAAATTACCATTTTCAAGAATTTTTTCTTTTCTTACACTGCTGTTTTCTCTTTGTACTCAGCAGTCTGTTTTCGCTTTAAAAAATCAGACAAATGAACAAACTTGTCTCTGTACAGTTTCCACATTGGCCAGTGGTGGAAGCAGATGAGTGGTACACGCGTTACCTGTGTTCCCACATATATACTTTTCGACTACAACTATGGTTTGCCACATCATTTTAGCGACATACTGTTTTGCCTTATGAATACTTTTTCATGACTTTTAGGTGGAGATTATAATAATCAGGAAGTACCTTTTTTAAGTACGTATTTACAAAGGGTGTTTTTTAAGTAAGGTCATTCGAAAATTAAAAAAAAGAAAAGAAAAGAAAATTTTCAAAGCCCAAATTTATTTTCAGATTCTACATACATTTCTCTATTTTTCAACATAGTTGCCAAGTTTGTTTAAAAACTTATTATACCTTAGCACTAAATTTTAAATACCCTCTTCATAGAAACTTGCTGCCTGCTCTGATAACCAAGAGGTCATGGCTGTTTTCATCTCTTCATCATCATTGTAATGGTTGCTGCTGAAATGATGTTTCAGATAGTGGAAAAGATGAAAATCGCTTGGCGCAAGGTCAGGGCTGTAGGGGGTCCAAACTTTCTGAGCCAAAAGAGTCCAGTAAAGCTCAGGTCTGAGCTGCGGTGTGAGGCCTTGCATTGTCTAGCAAAATTCCCTCTGTCAGCATGACACGTCTTTTGTTTTGAATTGCTCTGTTTAGCTTTTGCAGGGTTTAGCCATAAGCTACCACATTTATGGTGGTTCCGCGTTGTATGAAGTCAACCAACAAAACACCATGCCTATCTCAAAACATGGATGCCATGAACTTACACTGGGACAGAGTTTGTTTAGCCTGGACCCTTACAGTTGGAGTGTGTATGTCTCCACACTATGCTCTGTTGCTTCCATCATGCTGTGACATGTGAAACCCATGTTTCATCTCCCGTTACGATTCGACTCAACATGGCATCACCTTCTTCATTATAACAAATAAAAAAATTCAGTGAGCACTTAAATCTTTTGTTTTTTGTTACTCTCCATTAGGTGTTTAGGGACCCAATAGGGACACACTTTCTTAAACTTTAACTTTCAGGACACTTCAGGAAATTCATTTAGAGTGCTTATGGGGATGCATGTGTTCTCAAGAATTTTTGCTTCAACTGAAGCCACCATATCATCTGTGATCACTGATTGGTGACCGAAAAAAACGTTCTCTTAAAACTAACTATGAGTAAATTTTACTCACCATATAAAAGTAGAATTAAATTTCCTGAAAGACTGAAAATATCCCATATTGAGTAATAAAAACTTAATGTGGTCAACATTAAGTCATAAAGACTAAAGAATATAGATAGCATGTCTGAGTGATATTGGTGCTAGTGTGCATGGTTTAGAAGTTGCTCGCACGTTTCGTTATTGTGCGAGTAAATTTATGCTGGTTAGTGTTCTAGGGTTAAAATGGTGTTTGACTGTATATTTTTTCTCTTATTATTTTGCTGATAAATATAATTTAATGGTATAATTAAATAATTAATACTGCTGGAAAATAAATTTCTTATTAGTTAAAATAAACAAAGAATTTCAAAGATATACATCAGTGTTTCTGTACCTTTTTTGCCCCACACACTCCTTTCACTATTGCTAGACAATCATCTCCCCTTTCCAAAACTTGAAAAACACATATGCATTTATTTAAATTTATTTTTTAATATGGTCAGTGATGATAATTACTTGGTTTATTGATTACATTTTCACTTTTAATTATACCTTTTTAAAGTTTCCATCTTAAATTTATTAAAGATTCAATTTTTAAATATGCTGATGAGTTACTTCATTTCAATAGAATTCTAACTACTTTTGTCAAAGGAGATAATATACTAAATAATCTATTAGTTTTATATATATATATATATATATATATATATATATATATTCATAAATTAAAACTAAATACTTAACAGGTAAATAAAAGGCTTACCTCACTTACCCCTGGTTGAGAATACTGATGGTCATTTTTTAAATATATAAATTTATTGTCCAAACTATCATCATCCCTGTAGCAAAAAGTCTTCTGTATGTAAAAAGTTTAACACAAAAGTCGATTTTCTAATATTTTTTTAGGGTTCATGAATTTTTGGCAAAGAAGAGTTCTGATATTCCAGGCCTTTCTTCTTTTCTGATGGATGTTGATTACCGATATGTATGTATAAAATATCTATTTTAGGTATTATCTTGTATGAGTAGAATGATATTTTAGCCTTTGTAATCAGTTGGCAGCTCTCAACCGCCATTCATAGTATTGTGGCAGAAATAATTAGACTTACCCATCAGAAGCAAAAAATTGAAAATATTTCAAAATAATTCATTAGTTAGTCCTAAATCTTATATTTAAAAAATAATAATTATAATTTTACATCAAATTATGATAGTACTCTAAGATATTAAGTTTATAATGCATGAGAAACCATTTTATATGCATCTTCTCTTTTTCCTTTTCCCTTGTGAACCATTTCTTAAAATGCAGGACTTTCTTATGTGTAAAGTCATCATATATTTCAATCAATATAAGAATTTTTTTTATATATAAGAGTATGTTGGTATAGAGTCTATCGTAAATTAGAAATGTGGATTGCATAATCTTTCTTATGTGGAAAGAAATTATCATTATATGAAATTAATGTATTTTATAAGGTAAAATATTTAGGTATGAAACTGTATAAAATAAAAAAAAATAATGTATTTCTATTTTGCTAATAAGAAAGATCAGCGGGGGGGGGGGGGTATGTTATAAGTTCTGCTTAGTAAAATAACAGTAGAACTTCAGTTGAAGAAAAATAAATTAAATGGAGATAAATGTTTCAATAACTTTTCTTATTAAGACAGAAGAGAAAAGTACCAAAATGAGACTTAAAATTAGGCAAAACAATAACCTTGTCTTTGGCATATATTTTAATTAAATTCAATTAAAATCTGTGCCAGATATAAGGCTGTGTTTTGCCTAATTTTAAGCTTCATTATTTTTGAGAAAAGGATAGTTTTGTATTTAATTACTTATATCATGTAATAATTCCCCATGAATTATTTTAGATTGTAAAAAATTTACATGTGCAGTAGTCAGCAATTATACAATTTGCTGACATCCAAATAATTTTAATGCATCAAAAAGAATGCAAAGAAATTTTTGTATACCCTGTAAAAGTGCAACTTTCCTATTTTATCATTTAACTGATTATCACGTGAGAGTATATCTTTTCTACAGTCAAAAGTCGTTAATCCGGACTCGTCGGGACTTCGGCGATTCCGGATTATCGATTTTTCCGGATTATAGATCATCAGTTTAAATCTGGTAAAATGGCATGCAGAAATTATAAAATTAAAAATATGAAACCGTAATTTACGAAATAAAGAACAATTATGATCTAAAGGGTATCAAAATTTACAAAAAAAGCTTAATATTTATTTGTTTACTTTATTAAACATTTCTTTCAATGTAAGTTGTTTAAGTTGCTTCGTTTTATGTGATAATACATTCTCTTTAATTCTATAAACAGACATAATTTCTTGTTCAGTTACAAAGTTCCACTGTTCAAGTCCTATAATTGCTGTGTCGAGAATACCGACTAATTTGTCAATCGAAATTTTTTCGTTTTCAATAACCTCTGTCACTTTCTTCGCTATAGGAAGAGAATTATAATGACGAGGCATTTGATTTAAATCATATCGAAGACGGAGTACATCGAGATGAAATACTACATTGAGTAAGCAATTATAAGCCAAATAAAATAAAACATCTGCCCTTAAGATGAGGATAGTGCTGACAGATCAACTTCCAATTCATTGCACGCCACCATGGCGTTAAAGATAAACAAAGGATATGCGTTTATCCATTTTTTGCAGCAATTCCACTTTTTGTTTAATGAACTCCGAAAGATACTTTCGCTTTGTATATCCTTTACATATTAGTAAATATATATTGGAAATTCTATTTGACATAATCGAAAGTTCAAGCTTACTTTTATAAAATTGCTCTAACAGTCTGCAAAAAATTATAATCCGGATCCAATTTGAAGATTAAGGAACAACGCAATCTGCAACATTAACTGAAATAGATAATTAGATAATTTTAGCTTAGCTTATCCCGTCCGTTATACATTAAATGTGCATTCGTAAACGTATTTTGCGCAACGCGACGCATGCGCAGAAAGTTTGTAGCTTTGAGGTCCGGATTATGGGTGTCCGAATTAACGACTTTTGACTGTATTTATTATTTAATCACCAATCTTTAGTTGAGTGGTTAAAACGACAGAATATTGAGAATTTGACCTGAGTTTGGTCCCAGGGGAATATTCTGGCTGCACAGTTGGTGTTTGGGCTTTTTCCCCGTGTGTAATATGAATAGGAGCCAGTTTCCCTTATAAAGTCCTCCACAAAGGCATTCTTTCCTTCAGGCAATTAACCTTCAGGTGCATTGCTAGATTCAGATAATCAAAACCTAATCACCAGTCACAAAATATGTTTTTTATGTGCTTTTTATGAAATACAATTGTAATATTTTGTGAATATTATTAATTTCTAGGCAGTACAGAATATAACTGCTTGTTTGATCAATAAATTCATTGATTATTTTTATTTCTAAATTACAGTAAATGTTATTTGAATTTAAAAAAAATAAAGCCATTAAATTAAAAATATCTTACATTGTAAACTGTTATGTATTAAAATTTTGTGCCAAAATATAGTGTTTTTCTTGCTACAGCAATTTTACTGAAGTGTGATTTTAATTGAAAATATGTTTTAATGGAAGTTAAGCAAATTTTACAAAAGGAACGTTTTGTGTGAGATACATTAATAAATTCAAATGATCATCACCATTGACAAAGAAGGCATAGATTAAAATCTCGGTGTTATTACTAATGACAATCATAGTAGTGAATGGATTTGGGTTCTTATATACAGTGTGTGCTCAATTATCTGTGTTAATGCTGAGATAGCAGGTCACAGATAGTTGAAAAACTCATATAATGGAAACCATCAATTTCCTTGCATATTGTATGTATTTATTTAAAAAAAATAAATAAATAAATAAAAATAAAAAATTATTTTTTTTTTGGTCAGCAAAATAGAATTTCAGCAGCAGTCTTTGTTGTCTCGGGAGTATTGTAATTTTGAGTTTCTACTTCACTTGTATTTTCAGTATCACTCTCTGCCTCTTCTGTTCTTGTGACATTTGAAACAATATCAGCATCACCCAAGCATTGAAACACCACCTAATTCAAATAGCCATTAAACCATTCCTCTGTTTTCCCAGTCGACATTTTTCAAGAATTTTACATTTTTAGCTTTTTTGGCATACAACTTCAGTTATTACCTTGACTTCTTCACAATTAGGCAACTCTGCATTAGGAAGAACCTTTCTCCATGATTGAATCAGTATTATTTGTTTTACTACACCATATAAAGCATTCCATACAACAAACTGTTTACACCATTAAACTTGCAACATTTGGCAATAAAAATTTTGCCATCATTAGACTGCTCATTGTTTTTAAATTATCCTCATTTGGATGAGAAGGAGCATTATCTAATAACAAAGCTGCTTTTCCTGTAACCATGTACATTTTAAAAAATCCTTCACTTCTAGAACCCATATAGTTCCAAAACAATCTTTGAATATCTCTCTATTCATCCATGTCCCTTTTTGATTGTAATAATTTACAGGGAGAATTTTCATTTTGGTCCTAAATGATCTAGGCATCTTTTCTTTACCAAGCACCAAAAGTTTCATTTTATGTGTTTCTGATACATTTGTACAACACTGACTGTAATGAGCTCTTCTGATGATTTATACCCAGGAATGGACTTATTTTTTGACGAAGCATTTTCATAGGCAAACACTTCTAATATTGGCCTGTCGCATCTGCATTATAGATTTGATTAGGTTGCAAATTTTCCTAAAGAGTCATGCAGAATTTATTAGTGCTTCTTGTATGGTGAGTTCTCAAATATCATATTGTTGCTTAAAATCTTGTAAGCTAGCCTTATGAGACTGTAATATTGCCTTCTAATTGCAACTTTTCATTATATATATGATAATACATACATACAATTGTAGATTTCACCATGCATGTTTGACCGTTGACTGGTATTCTTTCTACTCATTTCTGGTTAAACTAGGTCAACATAGCTGAGAGCTGAGATTTCATGCTGTTTTGGTTAAATAGACCTGGCACAGTTTCACAGTATTTTGTGAAAGCCTCTAACTTTTTTTTTCGTTTAACAGTACACAAACAGTTTGCACACCAATTCCATATTCTTCAGCAAGCTGTGTTATCGATTTGCCACGTTTAAATCATTTGAGTAATATAAGTTTTTCTTTTAATATTAAAACAGTTTTCTTGTATTTAATATATCTAGTGTTATTTTTATTCTGAAATTTAAAATAAGAATAAAATATGCATAAAAATGCATATGAAAAAAAAAAAAAATCCTAGGGATCAGCCAAAATAATGCCTTGTACGAATTGTATGGGGTAATCATTGTAACTAAACCTAAAGATGCAATCCAGTGGTTCTTAGAGCATGCCCAACTTGTGCATGTTTGTTTTTTTACACCCTTGCATATACCTTTGAGTGTGCATGCATGGGCACCAAGAGGTTAGAATTCTAACCTGGCACCGTGATGCGCAGATTATCCACAAATCAGATAATCCACACCCAGACACTCAAAAGTCACTGTAGTTCAAGTAGAGCTAACTGTTACATACAAATGTCTGTTAAATTTTACACTATAGTAATATGACATTCCATTGTATGCAAAATCTATGTATATTGGTTTTTTGATATTTTTCTAAATAATTTGCATTTTCTCCCCTCTAGATGCAATTTTATGACCAAAAGCAGTTTGCTCACTATAATCTCTTTAACAATCATTTTTTTGGTGGTGAATCCTCCAAAAAGAAATTTTTTAAATTTTTAACTGAGGGAAGTGAAGAAAAGACTGTTATTTTATTAGACCCACCTTTTGGTGGATTAATAGATGCTATATCTCATACTTTGAAAAAAATGAATAAGCTGTGGCAAGAAATTAACCAGAAAACAACTGAAGAAATGGTTCCACTGCTTTGGTTTTTTCCTTATTTCTTTGAAGAAAGGATTTTACAGAACATACCTGAGTTGATTATGATGGATTATAAGGTAATTAATATATATATAGTATATATATGAATTATGAAGAAAGTTCTTTTATTATAATGTTTTTGAGTTTTGTAAACATTATCAGTAGTTTCAAGAAAACTGAATTAATTATAATAGAAAAAAGGTAAATAATAGCTTGCATATATATTCACTCAAACAGTAAGACTTAAAATTAAGAACAAATTTGGCAATTTTTATTAAAATTTTCAGTGGTGTACAGTGCTTGTGTGCCTGATGTGTATTAAAAAAAGAAAGGAAATTAAAAGGATTCAGATTTTAATGTTGCACTAGAGGGTTTGTTAGAGTTTTTTTATGCTCTCGTTGAGCTCTAAATTTAGCTAGCTGCTGTCAGACTCTTTTGCCAACATTTTTTTTTTTATTTATTTTTAACTTTATTTTTAAACATAATTTTCTTCACACTTGTGCCACGTAATATTCAACAGCAAAATCACAAAATTTTTAAAAACATTGTGTCTTTAGAATTCCCAATGCAGCTCAAAGTGTTACCATACATTTTCTAGCTCAAAAAGGCTATTATTCTTAAACTTCAATTTTGTGATGAATTGCATCTCTTGTCCATTTTACTTTTTAAATAATTAACCATTGGCACGACAAGCAGCTAAGTTATTTAGCATCCAAAAAATTTCAATAGTTTCAATAAAATAGTTTCAGTAGTTTCAATAAAAAAAAGAAAATATTTACAGTAAAAAAGATTTAACTAATCCAGCTAGTGTAATGTCATGAGTCCAGCTGGTAATTAATAAAATAGGTAAAGAATTGCATTTATTGCTTTTAAATCACTTAATTTGTCAATAACAAGCAAATTAAATGTTAAAGAATATTTTAAATCTTAAGCTTCACCAAATAGCAACAAACTGGCACATGTGTCGTGAGTTTAAGAGAAAATAATGAGCAGTTTGTTAAAATTTAGATCAGATGAAAAATCTTTTAATATATAGCATTTTAATACTATTTAGCACAGTGTAATAGGTTCATTTTACAATACGCAACATCCACAAAAATGATCGTTACAACGCAGTTCGATCATCCATCTTTTTGAACAACAATCTCTCTCTCGTTGCCATTCCGTAACAGAGAAACTTACCTCTCATGCAGTTTGATCATGGCGCGACATTCTCCTCACCTTGACTTTGGGGATACAATCTCAACATCATGATAATACATACATACAATTTCAGATAACAATAATGTACAAATAATAATAGAAATATTTCAAAATATTAGAATGCAAATTGAAATCAATATTTTAGAGTTCCAACACAGAAAGTTCATAAGTTTGTTTAGAAGTTTATAAATCCAGTCTTTTAACTGGTTTTATTTTTCTTCCTGAGCGAGACACGCGAAAAGTTTCGTTAGAGTAAGTATTAAGCTCAGGATTTTCAGCTATCACTTCTGGAACCTTCTGACGTTCCAATATGACTTGCTCGTAATTTGGTGTCAATTCCAAAGGGTACAGTCGTTGGTATTGGTCTTAATATGTTTCCCTTTTCAGTTTGTAGTTTCACAAGTCTTATGATTCCATCTCCATCTTTTCCTGGAAAGAGTTCCAGTACTCTCCCTAGCAGCCAATGCAGCCTTTTTTATCATCTGTACCAATTAACACTATGTCACCTACATTTTATTTTATCTTCTCTTTTGTTAACTGAAGAACGAAGGAAACCCAGATGCTCCCTTTTAAACCTTCGTTTTAGACTTTCACGAACCTTTTGAATATGTCTCCATCTTAAAACAATATTAGTCTTTTCAATTTGATTCAAATCAGGAACATCATTTAATGGAATGTCCTGAAGAAACATTGAGGTGGTCAAGGTTTTCAGCTCTTGTTCCTCGGATATGTAAGTTAATGGTCTTCTATTCATGACAGATTCGCATTCACACACGAGAGTCTGCAATTCCTCGTAAGACAAACAGAAGCGTCCAAGATTTTTTCTTAAAAGATCTTTCAAAATTCCAATCAAAGCGTTCCCAGAAGCCCCCCCCCCACCACCACCATGGAGAAGGAGCGCGTGGATTAAACTTCCAACGAATTTCGTTGACTCTAAATTCACTTTCAATTGTAGTCCATCTAATTGTTTCAGAGCGTTTGTTTAGTCCTGTAAAATTAGTACCATTGTCTGAATACATCACAGAAATTCTTCCTCTTCTGGCTATAAACCTACGCATAGCTTGGATGAAGTCATTGGTACTCAGTAAAGGTATTAGCTCAAGATGGACAGCTCTAAATACAGCACAAGTAAAAAGTACTATCCACACCTTTTGTTTAGATTTAGTCAACAGAGGTCCAGCTATATCTACACCCAATACTTGAAAAACAGCTGCTACTTCTGTTCGGTCTTTTGGAAGAGGCGGAAAAGGCACCTCAAGATGTTTTACCTTTTGCCTTTTACATGTTAAACATTCTTTGATAACACTCCGGACAGTTCTTTTCCCTTTCACTATCCAAAATCTTTCACGTAAAATAGTCAGTAGAGTTAATGTCCCAGCATGCTTGTTCACAATATGTTTTTGCACTCAATAAATCTTCTTCACTACCAGGTATATCTGGGATGGTGAGAACTATTGGAGAAATAAAATCTTTCGATTCTTCCTCATTTATCAATCTGGACTTCAATCGTAAAATTCCTTCTTCGTCTTCAAACCTTGGAAGACCTTTAAAATTTTTTCGTGTTTCTTCATTAGAGTAACATTCTTTTCGTATTACACGGAAAATAATCCTTTGTGCATTTAACAATTCTTCATTTTGAAGTTCCTTACATTTTCTTAAGACCTTGGCCTTTTTTTGAAAACGCAGTATCCAAGCCACAACCCTAATCATCTTTGAAAATCTAGAGAATCTCCTGGCTAACTGTAATGGAATTGACTGTAGCTCTGTGTTACTAGCAGAGATGACTGACTTTCGTTTCTCTATCTCTACTTCTTTCTCGTTAATATTTGCAGTTGACTTTGGCCACTGTTTCTTTGAATTCTTCAACCAGGCTGGCTCTTGCTACCACTTGCATTTCTGAAGTTGTCTGGGTTCACAACCTCTTGATAAAATGTCTGCTGAATTCTGGTCAGTTGAAAATATGGAACTAATCTTCCGAAGCTGTCAATTTTCTAATCTCTTTTGTTCTGTTGGTAATGAATACCGACCACTGTTCTCGACAAGTTACCCACAAAAGACCTGTGGAAGAATCTGTCCAAAAGTAAGTCTTGATGTTGGGAAGTTTCAGAGCTTGCTTCACAGAACTAAACAGCCTGGTGCATATGTTAGCGACCATTAATTCAAGACGTGGAATAGTAATAGTCTTCGTTGGAGTTATTCGTGATTTGGCTTGAAGTAATTCGAAAGTCAGTCACAGAACCCATACTGGATTCACTTCTTCTTAAGAAAATGCATGCCGCATAAGCTGTCTTACTGGCATCGACAAAAGTATGGATACTTAAATTGGATTCCTTCATCACACCTAACCATCTTGGAATTTTTATATTTTTTGAAGTATTTCAGTTGTTTTCCCCCCCATTTAAAAAATATTCTTTCTTTATTTCATCATTTACTTCATCATTCCATGATTCTTTGCTCTTCCAAGTGGCCTGCAGCAAAATCTTAGTCTGAATCATAACAAGTGCAAGGAAACCTATGGGATCAAATACTCGACTAACTAGTGAAAGTATTTTCCTTTTGGTTACCTTTTCTCTTTAGTCAAATTAAAAAAATTCGGTGTCTCTTTCTAAGGATCTAAATCTTTGTCCCAAATCAGTCCTAATACCGGTGTTGTTGTACTTTCTGAAAATGCAGGAATGCCAGAACTTTCCCATCCTCTGAGATCAAACATTCCTTCTTTCATCACATTAGTTGCTGATTCGATGAATATTTCTAGTTTGGCATTATTTTGTACACTAGTTACGCAATTATCGACACAAAAACTATCTTGTAATTTTTTAAGGAATTCTTCAGAATATTTTTCTTTCTACGATTCTTTAGATAAATGATGGCCAATAACCGCCATTAGCAAAAATGGACTACAAGTAATGCCAAATGCCACACGGGTGTGACGAAATGTCTTCATTCTACCATCATCATCGTACGAAAGAAATCTTAAAAAATCTCAATCTCTTTCATTTAGAGATATCTGTAAAAAAGCTCTTCTGATGTCTGAAATCACACCAATTTCATGTAAGCGAAATCTTGCTAGAATAGAGGGAATAGTTTCAATCAAATTAATTCCAGTCTCTAAAGCAATCACTTAGAGATGGCTAATTAGGAAGCTTTGCCGAAGCATCAAAAACGGGTCTAATTTTCATGGAAGATAGTGAGGAGGACGTTTCCTTAATGACTGTACGACATGTGGGAGGTAATGAACAACGGGTAAAGACAACTCCTTTTGGGGAACTTCTTCAATCACTCCTTCCTTGCAAGCCATTCATTAAAGACTTCAATGATACTTTTCACAATATCCGATTTTTTCCAACTTCTTCATAGTATATTCGAGTCTTTTCAAAGATAGGTCATAATTGTCAGGTAAGACTGCATGCTCAATCTTCCAAGGCATATCAACCTCGTATCTACCATTTTCTAATTCACGAATTGTTTCTTGGAAATGAACCATAATAGCTCTTCTTGACTCTTCTTTAGTTTTTTGTTCAACAGGATCTCAGATACCCAATAATTCTAAGTCCCATAGTGATGAAATAGGCAGGTCTTCTTGAGATAACATAGAAACTACAGTCATATTTACATTGTGCTGATGTTTGGATTGAGGTACTTTACCCATCAAAGTCCAACCCAATTTTGTTTCTATAGCCACTAAACCTGTTCTTAGTTCTTCTCGTTTGCCAGTAAATAACTTCCCTGCAACGTCTACCCCTAACAGTACTTCAATAGGGCCTGGATTCCCTTGGGTATCAATTAAGCGTATTCTTTTGTTTCCTAATTCACGAATCCAAGAACTGTATCTTATGCTTGAAATATCATTACAAATAACATCATGGTCCACAGCATCTAATTTACATGAATAATTACCATCAAGGCTACTCAAATAAATCTTGTAACATTTATGTTTGCAAATTTCAGTTTTTGTTCCACCAAATAAAGAGTGACTAAATTCTTCCTCCCACTGCAAGTCAAAACCCATTTTTCTCAACAACCCATTTCTTCTGCGGTAGACTTTAAAACATAACTTTTTGAGCTTCCCGTATCAATCATTAATCTAACTTTATGCTTCTTATTCTTACCCTCTATGTTTACGACCAGGCTCTGAAGGAAAACTTCATTCGTAGCACGCGAATGCAAAGAATTGGTTGTTTTCTCTTTTTTCTCATCATTTTCCTGGTTATGCATTTCACTAGACTTGTTACATTCAAGACTAGAACAAAAATATTTCAAATGCCTTTTGGAACAGATCTGACACTTAATACTTGATCGACACTGATTACTGAGGTGACCTTTAACCAAGCATATTCTGCATAAACCTTTCTTTTTTACCGCAGACATTTTTTCATCTAACGGAATATAAAACGCCTTTTTACAGTTACACATTTCATGATCTTTTAAACAAAACAAACAAGAAGGTATTGCTTCATGATTCATCAAATCCGACGCGGAAGGAATATATTGACTAGTTGCCAAGTGCTTACGATCAGACACAGAAAAATTATCCGCTCTGCTTAATTTTATTTTTTCCTTTGACTGAACTTCGCTTTTCAGAAATTCAATTATTGCATCAAGACTTGAAATGTTTTGTTCAGATTCAGTAAATTTTCGTTGTCTTTCAAATGATCGCAATACATGAATAGGAATAGTACTTTCTACAAGAGGGTATAAAATTGTTCCATGCTGATCAGTCGTCACACCGAGACTGCTCAGGGCTCTAAGTTGTGTTGAAAGTTTGTTATACAAACTACTCAAAGAATCCTGCTTCTTTTTCGCTGCGTTATCCAAAGCAAGTTTTATTAACTCTTGAACATAAAAATCAATTAAAAGTTCTCTACGGCCATATCTCTCAGTAAGACTTTCTATAGCCAAAGGATAATTTTCGTTCGTCACAGGAAAAGATTCTACAATATCTCTAGCTTCTGATTTAATTTTTGTTGACTGTATCAAATAATGGAATCTGTCTGCATTCGTTAAGTTATTATTTTCATGTATATTTTTAAACTGATTCCAGAACCAATTTTTTAAATCACCTGCGAACTTATAAAGTTCTACTTTCGGTAGGTGTTGGCACAAAGTTTTACATGTATTTTCATCAGTAACTAATTTCTGATTACTCTCTGACGATGTATTTTGGATTTCGTTTAATTTACTCTTAATATTATCGAGAAATCGTTTTGATTTTAACTGTATCCTAACAGCCTTTTCTCGATAATCCTCTGTTATTTCAAATTCTGTTTCGAATTCTTTATCATCAGTTATAGTATCTAAATAAGCACTGTGCATCAATTTTAATGTTTCTGCCTTTTCGTAAGTCAATGTGTAAGTCATTGTCCATTGCGTGGATTAATTTTTGAATATGATACCCCCTCTGCACAACACATTCATCTATGCGGCATTGGAAGCTTGCCATAACTTGGCGTAACGTGAGGCAGCCCAGGAAATGTCACCAAAATGGGAAATTACTCTACCTGGAAATCTCTGTCACAATGGTCTGTCCATCTGGAACTTTACCATAATGTCCCAAGTTTAAATGTTGCTGAAATAGACGCTGGGTAGCAATAACAGAGTAGTTCTTGAAATAACTTTCAACAGCAAAGGCACGATGCTGTGCACTCCACCGATCCATATCACTGTCACACTCGAAATGGCAGCTCATTAGTACACAAATGCAGAATGAGCTGGCGCGCATTCATGCAGTACGTCATTGTACTACTCAAGTCAAATTACGCTATGAACGCTGCCGCACCCTGTATAAACAGTCATTTTAATCTATAAAAATAACAACTGGACCTACTGCAGCAACAAAATATGTGGATCAGGGATTACATTAGAAGAACTTTAGCTTCTGCCCATTCAAAAATCATTTGGCTGTTATACACTCATGTCCAAAATTATCTTTACGTACCCAAAAATGATGATATTCAATGAAATATCGAATCAATGTGATCCGTATTTGCGGGGAATGTGTGAAAACCAAGCCTAATTAGCATTATCCAATCAAAAGTAATCAAACGGTTTGTGATATACAAATCTAGGCGTTACGTCATCCAAGGGTGAATAAAGCGCTTTGCGCAAACTGAATATTTGAGTGAATTTCTGAAACATAGCGTTTGATTTCAGTGTGTAGGGACTCAAAGCGGTTTGTTATGGCTTCGAAGTATCATTTGGAAGAATCTGTAAAGTGGCGAATTATCGGCCGTTTAGAAGCAGGGCAGTCAATCATGGAAACAGCCACATGTCTGAATATTTCAAGACAGACAGTCTCTAAGCTATGGAAACAGTTTCAAAATGATGGAAGTGTTGTAAGGAGGCCTGGACAAGGTCGGAAACGAATGACAACTGCTTCTAAAGATCGGTATCTAGCATTAACTGCCCGTCGTAACAGAAAGGCTACTGCTCGCCAGTTAAGTTCAGAGCTTGCAGCCGCCACTGGAACTGTTGCATCACGGCAAACAATATACAGAAGGCTTAATGAAAAAGGCCTTTATGCCAGAAAGCAAAGGGTATGTGTTTTACTGTCTTTACAGTAAAAGAGGGATCGCTTTAATTGGTGTAAAGAACATCAAAACTGGACTGAACATCAATGGTCCCATGTTCTCTTTACTGATGAGTCGTGGTTTAGTTTAACTGGTGATTCTCGTGTTTACATCTGGAGGGAGTCAGGAACACGAAATGATCCCTCGAACATTGTGGAACGTGACCGTTTCGGTAGTGGAGGTGTGATGGTATGAGGTGGAATAATGATCGATGGACGTACGCCCCTACACGTGTTCAGCAGCGGATCTGTGACAGGCCAGATATATCGGGATGAGGTCTTAGATCCTTATGTAAGACTTTTCAGGGGTGCATATGGACCTGACGTTTTATTTATGGATGATAATGCCCGTCCACATCGAGCAAACCTCTTTGATGAATTCCTTGAAAGTGAAGACATTAAGCGAGTACCTTAGCCACCAAACTCTCCTGACCTTAACCCGATAGAGAACTTATGGGACTACCTTGGAAGAGCAATTGCACGTATACATCCTCCTCCTAGAGATGTAAATGCTCTGAAGACGGCATTGCTAGAAGAGTGGAGATTAATTCCCCAAACTGTGGTTAACAACGTTATTTCCAGCCTTAAAACACGTTGTGATATGTGTGTAAAAGTCAGGGGAGATCATATTCCATATTAAATTCGTAAGACTTAATTCTTTTTTTCTTTTTCTGAATCATTCCTTTTTTTTTCTTAACTCTCTTTGTCACACACTTTATTACGATTTTTATTGTTTCATGCTACAATTTTTATATCATATGAGGTGATCTTCTTCAATTTTTTCTTTTGCATTTATGTGTCATCATGTTATGTATGATTCCACGAAAATTCATTAAATTATAAGTCATAGTCTCTGAGAAATCCGTGAATTTATGCATGTAAACATAATTTTGGACATGAGTGTATTTTCTTACCGAGCTGTATTAGCTGTTTTTCATTGAAAAGCATATTACTTAATTTATCTGTATTTCCAAATGATTTGCTGTCATCGCCACTGTAGTCAGATGTTTCTGTGCTTGTGAGATAATAAAAACTAGTAGTTCCATAAAAATGAAATACAGACAATCTTATTTTAATAATCAGTACCAGTCTTTCTTAAGCTACAAGCATATTAGACTGGATTGCATGTGCTGCTATTTATGTATTTGACCATTAAATATGCATTACATAATAATATTACATGTTTAATAATTTAAATTACTGTAATTGAATGGCAACTTACATTTATACTTATTATTCCATTACTCTGGCAACATTAAACCACAGAATAATGAAGCTATGAAGAATAGATCAAACAGTTTAATAGGTTGACTGGATTCTATCCTCCCATAGCCTCATCATCTTAGATTGCCAAATGTATGATATTTCTAAATGATAGTAGATAAAATAACTATTTTAAATTTTTGTTTTAAAAACATCGGAGAATTGCACAAACTTTGCATCATACAACTTTGGCACTGTGCATTGTAGAAACAGACGTATGGTGTGTGCATACTTGCTTTTTTTTTTTTTTTTTGCTTTGTTGTTGTTCTTGTTTACACTGTGATTTGTTTTTGGTTAAAAAAATATCAGAAGATTGCACATCTTTGGCATTATGCATCACCTGGGTTGCCCCATAAGTAAGTTTTGACGACATCATGGATTGTCATATATTTTGGCAACATAATCCTTTCCCTCGTGAATACTTTTTCAAGACTTTGATGGGGTTATGGATAATCAAAAAGTACAAGTACATTTAAAGACAAATAGTTGGAAATAATTAAAATAGAAAGTATATTTTTCTCAGGTTCATAATTGAGTTATGAAAATTTATTCTAAAATTTGCATGAAATACGTATGTTCTAAAAATATTATTTAATTTTTAAATTGAAATTATTTCTTTTTGTATAGGTAGAATATGAAAATCATAAAAAGTATGGTATGAATCTAACTTCCAAAGGCTCACCAGTTCGAATATTCACAAATATAAAACCATCATCATTTATTTTGCCAGAAAATGAAGGATATAGGTAAACTTTATTTTCTAATATTGATTGATGTAAACGTCAAATTATTCTAGACGTATGAATTATATGCAAGTTTAGAAGCTTAAACTGAAGGAATTGACAATATGCTGTCAGTTAATTATTTGCATAGTAGAATTGCATCACCATAGTGCTAATGTTATTCCATTGGAAACTGAGAACATTTTTCAAAATAACCCCAAAATTAACAAGAAGGAAAACTTATAACACTACTTTCAATAAATTCAATACCTCATATCATGAAGAATTCACAAAGTATTATGTATCTGAAAGCATAAATTGCTTTTTTCTCACAAGAAAGGATTTGTAGCGAGTTAATGTAGCCCAGGAAAACCAGATTAGTGATATTTTATATTGTAAGTTTCTAAGATAATTAGAGGTTGCAGAGACAGTATCCTCTGATTTCAGTACTCTTTAACCCCTTAAGGACCAGCAAATGGAGAATGAAGCACAGTCATGGGACCGGATCCACTGAAATGGATCGTCGCCACTGGCCTGTGCATTTTCAGCAGTTAAGCCTAATTGTACAAAGAAAAATAGTATGAAATCAGCATTTGGGTATTATGACTTCAGTTTTTAAAGTTGCATATTTAATGTACTTGTTTTTAATGTGTATTAATATAAAGAATATCACATTAATAGAAATAAATTAAACAGGCAAAATACTAAAATCATAACTATACACACGGAAATAAATACTATAAACATGAAAAAAATTACAAATACAAAATTTAAAAAAAAAAAAAAAATGAAACAAGCATTACCTGTAGGTAATTAAATTCCACTTTAAAAATTCTGCTGTGTGGGGAATAATTCAAAACAAGGATCGACACACAGTCGTGCATTGCATATTTTGCACTCAAAATACATTGTTTGCTTTTGCTTTTCCTTTAAGCATGCACAATGCATCTTGTGCTACCTTTATTACCTTTTCCGTCCACTTAAATTTTCAGAAAAATGTCTTTGAGTTAGACAGAAAGTTGGAGTGTGTGGTGATTTTGGACAAATTTTTAATTTTTTAATCAAGTTCTCTTAGCCATGGCTAACGGAATGAAACTGAATACAACCCCAACACATCTCAAAACTTCTTCAAAAGACACCCAGAAATATTTCATCCTCAAACCCTGTGTAACATCAAGTTTACATTAGAAAACTTCCTGTTTTTCTAAATCAAAACAGTGTCTGCCACAATGACCAGAAAATGATCAAGGAAAGACCCCCCCCCAATTGGCGAGATATCAGTTACTGATCACATCAATATATACATTATATATAATTACATTATATGTAAAGTAAATACACAATGCCTGGGTCATTATATATAATGACCTATTAAATCAAGTAAGAAAAACAGAAACGCTGGCTCTTTCCTGAGAAATGCGAACGAGTAAGACGCATTACGCGTCGCGAAAGCTGATGGTCCTTCTCTTTCCGTAATAATGTTGTAATGTTACTTTTCAATTAACCAAGAAAGCTTATATTAAATTTCAAAATAAATGAAAAAAAGGACAACTGGTCGAGTCTTTCCATCACAAATGTTTGGAGATGTTACACCTGCTATAGTCAGCTGAATGCACTTTCGTAACAAAAAACGCATATAACATAAATGAAAACAAAGAGCTGGATGCACACTTACCCACATTCTAATAATGAAAAAAACAAAGAAAAAGAAAAGAAAAGGAAAGAAATTCCTAACAAAATAAACAAAAACACCTCTGTCCCTTTAATTCACAGGCGTACTTACTATAAAGAGCTGTGATTCCCAGTTTGTTTATACCAATAAATCTATCAAAACCAGAAGCACGGAACAGAAACTAATGCCAGTACGTGAAGGCCAAAAAATGCCGTATGAATCAATTCATGTGAAGACAGTTACCATTTAGCTCCATTTACTAGGTTTTAAGAATTCAAATAAATCTTTCTGTTTTAAAGTTACGTATACACAACGTTGGACTGGTAGGAGTAGAATCATTGTGCCACGTTTACGGGACACTGGGCTGGTAGGAATGGAATCATTGCGTCACATATACAGGATGCTGGTCCTGAACAGGTTGAGTCTTTATTTCTAGATTTTTTATTGTGTTAATATTTTATGTATATCTTCTGTACATTTTGCAATAAGAAGAAACTGATGCTTGATTACTTAAATATCAATTTGCAATAAAACTCAATTATATTTACTACATATTATTTTCAATTTATCTGAAAAGAAATATCAAGTAAAATTTCGTTTCTCAAGAAATGAAAAGGCTAAAAATCTTAAATATTAATTGTCATTATGAAAATTGTAAATTTTCTTACATTCTTATATGTAGAAAGTCAGTCCCTCCCCCCTGTGTTAAACATGAAGTTCTATTGAATAGAATTTAACAAAAATGAGAGTTTTCTTCATGCAATGCTGTCTTCATATATTTCAGTTTGACTGAATTATGGGGTTGAAATATCTGAAAATGCAAATATGTAGATTTTTAGCTGCTAATACTGTAAATCAAGAAAATGAGTTGAATGTGTTTGTTTTATCAATTTTAAACATTAATTAAATTGAAGATAATTAGATTTTATTTGTAATTATATGAATAAATTATTAAATTATGTCTTTAGTATTAATAATGATTGAAATATATACTACTGTGAAATAATGAAATACAGTGCAAAGTCCAAGATCCAGACTCATCGGGACCTCAGCAATTCCATATTTGGAATTTATTGAATTATGGAATATTTGCAATTCCATATTAGATTATCAGTTTTAAGCCCAGTGGCGCAGTTGCTATCGCATCACGCAGCAGCACCAGTGGTCCAGGGTTCAATCCTCAGGTTGGGCAAGGTTGACTCAGCCTTTCATCCCTTAATTGGGTCGATAAAATGAGTACCAAGTTTGCTTGGTGACTAAACAACGGGGGTCCTGTGACAAGCTTATCACTTGTTCAGGATATATGCTCACACACCCAGGGACCCACAGTCAAGAAAGCAGATTTCGGGCACTGCCGGCCGTGGCCCACTAGGGCTCTTACGCCACTTAGTTTAGTTTAGAGTTTTAGATCATCGGTTTAAATCTAGTAAGAAGGCATGTAAACATTATAAAATTAAAAATATAATATCGCGATTTATGAAATAGTGAAGCATTTATGATCTAAAGCCGTCAAAAAATTTTCAGATTCCCATCAAAGAAGACCTTCCACTGTTAGAAATAATATCAGTGACCTTGTCCGTGCTTCCATTTTCCTTCTGTTAGCTATAAAATTGCACGATTCTCCAAATTCAATTTCAAGCGGTTTCTCCCCTATTATAAAATTCACCCTCGATTCTAAAAGATTGCGTTTCTGGTCTTGAATTTGGGGAATTTATATATCATGTCAGTGTGGTTTAAGATATTGGCCAAACAAAAGAGCGTTGAAGTTTCGTATCAAGGAACATGAATCTTATGTCAAAAAGGGAAATTAACAATCTTCAATAGCGTATCATAGCTGGACTTTAAAACCATAATTTTGAATTTGGTCTGCAAAAATCATCCAAAAGGCTTCTTCCATAGGCGAATTGTTTTTTGAGGCTTTTCACATTACAAAGATTAGAAAGTTTAGTTATGTTTGAAGTCCAATCCAGTCCTTCCTAATGCCTTTAAAATTCTACTGTCTTAATTCAATTATTTTTGTGCCGATAGATGGCGTTACCTCCTCGCACTTGGTACTACCCAAGGGTATAAAATCCGTTCAGTGGTTGCTTTTGCATTATTTGAAGTTCAGATTTGAGCGTAATGTGCATTTGCCCCTCGCTCCCGAATTTAACTTCGCTAATATTTCTTTATGCTTGATCAGACAGCCTGGCTCAGTAAAGTAGGCGCCATGCAGCTGTGATTAAAAATCTTTTAAACCACGTGCAGTGCTGATAAGCACCACGTGTTTCTGTGATTTCTATTTTCTTCTTTCTATGTATTCTTTCTCCCTGATAGGAGGGACCTTTAGCTGCCCCGAAATCGATTGAGTGTTTCATTATACCTACGCTAAATATAAGGTTGTTTTTTACGATTTTGATTTTTCAAATTCTTGAATAGTCTTGCCATTATCCAGAAATTTAACATGGAATTTAAAAATGCTACATAATATTTGCATTTCAGCATGCATACTATTCCAATATCCATAGGCTGAATGATGGACGTACAGTCTAGAGGAAAGAATAACACAGATACATTATCATTCATCAAAACTTTTAAGTGAAATATTAGCCAAACAGTTATCTACAATCATGACGATTTTTGCGTCATCAGGTAAGCCAACCGAATTCAAATTTTACCAAGCCTAGGGTATGAAATAATTTTCAAACCAATCATACATTAACGCTTCATGTCATCTGTCGTCTTTTATTTACATGATATATGATGGGATAATCTTTACTCCTTGAAATGCTCGAAGTCACGTATTTTTCTTATTATGAAAAGTTTACACTTGTGCATTCCTGCAGTCATTTGAGCATGATAAAATTGTTAGTCTAGCTTTGGAATCTTTGACACCAGTTGGAGCCATTTCTGTAGAGGTTGCTAAGGTATGTCCGATACATATTGCCAGAAAAGTGCAGTTTCATCAGTGTTGTAAATTCATCCTGGAGATAAAGTTTCACTATTAATGAGTTCAATGAATTCATCTTCAAATATTTCAGTAGCTTCAGTATCAGCTGAAGCTTTTTCACCTAAAATTTTTAATTGCGTTATACCACAGCAATTTTAAAATTTGGTTAACCAATCTGTTAAACATGTTCACTCAGTTTTTAAGATAATTTCTTCATGAAATATTTTGGCTTGAGCCATTAGCATTGGATCATCACTTTTAGCATAGCAAATAATTTTTCTGTTATTCTTTACAAATGGGGTGTCAGAATCCACGAAAATTGATAAAGTTCCTTTTTCTTATGTCATATACAGTCGACTTTCCAATGCTGTGCACCTCACATAATTTTGAGACAAATATACCTAATCCATCCCCCCCCAGCAATTCCACTTTTTGTTTAATGGGTTGCAATCCTTTTGCTAATTTTGGAGAGCATTTGTAAGCTTGTTAGTGATTAACCTTTTACCAAACTAATATGCAAAAGGCAATAGCCATTCTCAAAATGGCAGTCCATTAAGATTTCCATGCACGAACAGTCGATCAATAAAACTTAAGCAATAAGCAAATATAACACTTTTTTCGAGAAATCCCTCTTTTCTGTAGTGTTATTCTCCCCATGTACACAATAATATTTTTGCTTTAAAAAATATCAGATGCACTAAAAATATCTATCAGAGAGGAGGCATGCCTTTGTGGAGGATTTTCTGGGAGAACTGGCTCAAATTCACATCATATAGGAAAACCATGAAAGTGCCCATACAGGTAGCCCATTTGCTGGAATTTGAACCTAGTTTTTACTGCAAATAATTGGGCATTTTATCTGCTTGGCTTCTGGGGGAACTTTCACTGAATCAATATCATGTTTAGTTAAAATTTTATTACTCAAAATAGTGTTCATATTGCTTACCAAACATTGTATCTTCAGTCTGTGTGTGCATGTGACTATTTACAGTTAAAATTTTGAGAAATGCTTCTCTATTTTTGTGAGGTTTTGCCTCATTTGAAAAATCTTTTCATGGTATTGCAACCTCTTTGTAGAGGTGTGAATAATATTATTTATAGCAGATTATATGAGATAAAATTATATGACAGCAATAAGCTTATTTAATGTAATCTTTTTAATGATTTTGCAAATACTTCTTGTATAATATTTGTAGATGCCTCTAAAGATCAGAATTTTTAGCATCTACTAAAGTTAAGTACTTTATTAATGGAATATTTAAAATAAAAGAATTCATTCAACAATCAATTCAAATAAAATAGAAAATTCCTACCTGGTTTTTGATTTGATGAGCTTCACAAACAGTACCTGAATCTATTTTAGACATTAATCCTTTATTGGCCCAATATACAACTTATATTCTTGACAATACAAAACACATCTTAGCTACACTAAAACATTAACTAAAATGAAAAATAGTTATAACATATCAGCGCCATCCATAAGCTTCACAACATCCTCCAAGGCTGAAAATTCATCAGGGAACAAAAAGTTTCTGAAGTGTTATTTGAGGACATAACAGTTGCACAGGCCTTCTGATTAGAGTATCACTTGAAAGTCTCATGATGCAGTCATGGATACAGTCATCACATCCAGAATAGAATTCTGTCATAATATCATTTGCCATAAAAAGAGTGTAGGCATGTCATCATCACTTATTAAAACCACAGTGTTTTTTCTGTGGGGCAGTAAGTTCTGTGGCAGTAAGGGCAGTAAGTTCTGTGGGGCAGTAAACTGGTTATTATTGATAAGCTCAAGAAGATAAGAGGATTTCAATCTTTTCCAAATTTGATTAAATAAATCTTATTGGTATCTTCTCATTTTCAAAAATTGGGATTCAGAGGATAAAATCGGAATTACTTGCTTGAAGAAGAGTCAATAATAGTCATCCAGTCAAGAGATGTCCTGGTGTTAGTGGTTCTGGTAAATTTGAATCACTGAAAATATAAGGCATGGAGTTGATATCAATATATCTTCCAATTCTTGAAATGAAACTGATGTTCTTCCTAAGATTCTCCTCAAAGACATTTTAACTGACCTCACTAAGCATTCCCAAAAAACATCTCACTAGGCAGTCCTTTCGCTGATAAATTGCCATTTGATAGGTAATTTCCTAAATAAATTTTGCATTTCTTCCTCTTTTATGTTTTTCCGCTGCAAATTCAGTTCTCATTTTGCTTTAACTATCATTTCTGAAATACACTGAGTTTGTGCAACTGACCATTATAACTTCCTTCAGCACTGGCATAACTGTCAGACAAAGATTGAGCATTTTCATTCCATGGAAAATTGACTTCATAAGACCATCAACCATTTTTATCAAACTTTTAAATTCCCTTAAAACCTCATGATTTTTTAAATTGTGGTTGCATGGGATTCTCAACCTTTTTAAGTCAAATATTTTCTTTAAAATCTCTGTTTCTTGTGCGTTTTCATTTCAAATAATAATCTTCATTGCTTTAACCTCCCTAGAATGCAGTCTGATTGAGGCATCAAATCCATTGGAACACAGACCCCAAGTTTTGTTTCCATTCCCACTCATTTTATTTTCCCATTAATGATATTCTAAAAATTATCTAAAACATTTAAGAATGACATTCCTTTTTTCAGAATATGATTCATAGACCATTTGTATTTTCATCTGTTTATAATAAATAACTAATTTATCTACCAAAGTCTTTAACTATCATTTCTGAAATACACTGAGTTTCAATAGCTTCTAAAGTTATTACTTCATTAGAATTATAAATGGTTCTCAGTTTTACCTTCATGAAATTACTCGTTATAGTTTTTGTGCTCTTGAATAAAAAATAAAAATACTGAAACGTTCCTAACATATCACTTCCAACTTTAATTTAGCGAGATGTCTTTTATTTTCAGAAAGTTTTTATTCTTTTTTCCACTCTTCTCACTGAGTCAGCAGTATAAATATATGTTGCAACCCACTAAACTTGAAATAGAATAATTTGATTTATGAATTACATCACCATCATCTGTTTTTATTTTGTTCCTCGATAAGATTTTTGTTGCTGTTCCTTCCTTGTAAATGTAAGGATTATGTTTTTTAATCACATTTCTTGTACCTTATGCAGTTGCAACAAAATCTGGAAACATAAGATTTTTTAAAAAATAAACACAATATCCAAGACATAGTAAACTAGCTTTCCATTCACTTGTACGTAAAAGACATTAATCAATCTTTGTTCATTGGTAGAAAGAAATATAGGTGCATCTTTAATTGTAGTATTTAATGCAGCTGCTGTTATTAATGTTTAGAAGTCTGATATTTCCTGTACTGCAAAATTTTCATTTTATCAGCTTCTTTTAGCTTGAAAAATAAAAAGTATTTTTTCATATGTTTTGATTTTCCTTTTAAGAAACTGAAATAGTTTTGAACGATTCATTGATTTTTCTTTGTAGCAGAACAACTATATTCCACTATGATATCTTCAGGAATTAATTTTACTAAAATCGCAAAAAGAATTGCACCATAACTGTTTTGAGACTTCGAATGTGAATAGTAATTGTGCCATGTAACTGTCTCAGTTCCTTTAAGTTAAAACATAATTTCACAGGAATCAAGCCTAAAAGTTTGTATACATGTGAACATATAATAATTTCAGTTTTACCAAATCACTCTTTTAATAGTTCAATAGGTTGTCCAGACAGTGTAGTGGTTAAACCTACTGCAGTATCAAAGAGCCTGAGTTCGAATCCCAGAGAAGGCATGGTTGCAATTGTCTGTCCCTTTATGGGAGGTAATGGTGCTTCTTCATCTATTAGGTGCTTCTAAAATAAAATGTCTACCACTTCAGGCTTTAGTGGTTTCCAGCCCTAAATCAGCTAAATGGCCACCAATTGGGGGGGGGGAATAGTTCAACAGGTAAATGATAATTACTTTCCGTTAATATTAATCTGTGTACACATTTTAATGTGTAATCCTTTAAGAACAATTTTAAATAGTTAAATTTATCGATTTTTGATAATTGTTTATTCTCATGATTTGCACCTTTAAATTGTCCCCAAAATCTCAGCCAGTTTTCATATTTGCTGTCAAAAGCTTCTGTTTTTACTTTTGCCAATTTGATATTAGGATAATTAGTACTTATCCCATCTTCAAAAATTCTAGAGGAGTCACTGTGGGCATCAATTTTGCTTTCATTTTGATATTTATGCTCACCTTTGTAGTGTCAACTTTGAATTTCTAATTCCCCCCCCCCCCCGATATTCCTCACTTTTCAGAACATCAGCTTCAAGCATTTCAAATCACTTACAGTGCTTTCGGATTAACTTTCTCTTCTAACTGGCATTTTAAATTATCCAGATTGTCACCATCAATATTGTCGCCCCTTTAATATATCACTTATTTTATTCACAATTTCAGTTACAGAAGTTCAAATAGTTTTTCTTTTACATCTCTGATTCACTAGGTTATGCCATTTTCAGTTACAATTAACTCTTGGTTTCATCACCATTTAAAAAAAAAAAAAAAAAAAAGAGTTCAGTCGACAATCAACTCATATAAAATAGAAATTCGAAATTCTTGCCTAGTTCTTGATCTGATGAGCTTCTCAGACAGTAATTCAAGATACTTTTGGACATTAAGCCTTTATTGGCACAATATAGTGAAGGACAGCATACACTTTACACTCTTGGTGATAAACGACATATCTTAGGTACACTAAAACATTAACTAAAACTAAAGCATTTATAAAGTATCAGTGTCATCTATAGGCTAGAGTTCAGTATTTGTTAGTAGTTGATTAATTAATTTAAGCAAAAGAATTATTTTATGTTCTTTATTAAATTTATCTTAATCTTTGAAAATATAAATTGAAAAATATACTTCATTTATGTTTTATGTATATAGAGACAATTAGCTATATTTTTGATAGAAAGTTTGCATAGGTTTTAAAATTTTTGTCACTGTTTTGGTTTTATGCCTTCCTTTTCTGAAATGGAAGATTAGTAGTGAACTGAAATTTTTCTAACGTCATCTCTCACATATATTCAGAAAATATTTGTTCTAATTTAATTTCTGTTATAACATATGTTAAAAAAAGTTTAAGATGTTCATTAATTTTTCCTTGTTATTTCAGGTTTTGTGATAAATGCCAAAGATATGTATCTAAAGAAAATCTGCATTGTTTGAAGTGTGGTAAATGTCCAACTAAAGTAAGTTAATCCCATAAAAAAAAACACAAAAATCTACTTCTTGATCACAGTTATTACCTGGGAATATTTAAAATGAAATGGTGTATTTATTGTTATACTGAAATCAAATTATTATAGTTAAAATAATTATATGGAAATTGTTTTAGGTTTTTAATCTTCATCCATTCCCCAACCCTGTAAGGGTAGAAAATTTGTAATGAGAGGAATATAATTTATTAGTGTTATCAAAATTATTACTAGTGGACATTAACTTAGAAATAAGAAATAGTTATAAAACTTGTGCATACTAAACTTTTCATGTGCTTAAATATAAATTCAAGTGCTTCATTATTCTTAAAACTAAATTATTTTAACACAAATTTAGATGATAAAAATTATCAGAGATGTTGTTAATCTTAAGAATTGGCCTATCATACAGTCACTCTCAGTGTAAAAGACTTTGATATTTCGCAATAAAGGCAGATATCATGTGTTGGCAAACCCTTCCGGTGCCCATCCATCTGATATCAGGTTTTCTGTTCAATTCACAGGAATTCATACAATTGCAACTTTTTGTTGCTACTGTTTTTGAACTCTACTTTCATTAATAAACCTTTTGCATTGCATTATGGTGGGCTACTATGCAATCATTATATTGAATTATTTTTATTATTTATACATTCGATCCTAATGAATTACTTGGGCATCAAATTTGTGTATCAAAAATTCTCAACTCTTCCCTTCCCTCAAAATGTGTATTTAGTAATACATTCAAAATAATGTATTAATGTATGTCAAAAATATACTACGTAATGATGTACATTAACCCATTAACACCCAAATTATTTTAAAATGAGAATTTTTGAAAAAATATTTTTAAATTACATTTCATATATCATAAATAAAGTAATTATGAAGTTTTATTCAATTACGGTAATTAGAAGTACAGATAATAGATGATCTATAAATAGATCACGGAGCATTTCTGGTAATAAATGAAAAAGTAACTGTCCTCTGAACTTATGTTTATTTAAATTATGAATTTAGTTAAAAAAATCTTATCTTACTGATCTAAACTTCCTTAGTTATATTTTTATTGAGCAAATTTGCAATATTTAAATGTGAGATAGTGGAAAACATTTCACACAAAATGTTACATCTCATTTTATACAAAACATAAAAGGACTTTCCTTACATTTTTGAAACGACGTCTTCTTTGTCTTTTACCTATAACATGGTCTTTTCTATCTAAACGTATAGAGCCTATCACTTTGGTCTCAATGACATTACCTAGTATCTTCCAATGCTTTTTTTCAGAATTTGTTCCCAGTTTGAGGTATGCAACCACAACATGTCTTCAGATGTCTTTTATACTTTTTTTGCCACTCGTGTTCCAAGCGGTTCATTCAAAGTTTCAGGGGTATTGTCAAAATTCTAACAGTAGCTCTTTACTCCACACATGGCCCATAATTATAGCAAAACTGTATAGGTTTTCCTTTAAAAGATTGTTTAAAAAATGATGACCGTAATATCTAATCATCATTTCATCAACAAACAGAAATTTAGTAAAAACTTCCAAATTTTTTTAAACTAGGATGAATATACATGGTTAATTTTCTTATTTTGAATGCCCGGTCTGATTTTTGCATTGTTGCATAATTATTATTGGCAAAATGGATTACAGATTTAATTTCTGAATATTTGTTTAGAGACACTGCATTTTTTACTATTGGTACCATGAGATCTTCTTCCTCTGACCAGTAATCATGTTAATTAAAGTATGGTACCCAGAGAAAATCAAAAACCAATAAAACTCTTCAACTCATCAATTGTTACTGAAAACTCTTGCTTATTGTTCCACACTTTCACATATCTTTCTGTTTTATTTATTACACATTCATAAATTCTTCAAAAATTTCAAGTGGATTCATATTTTCTGAAATATTTGAAATACTCTCAAGATTTTCATCGGATAAATTACCTTCTTTTTTAAAAGCATAAGTAGGGTTATTTATTGTCCAATTTGCTTTTGACTGCATTTTTTTGATAATTTCGAACTAACTCTTTTTTTTTTTTTTTTTTTTTTTTTCATTTTCATTATTGGTACTAGATGTAGATGGCAGTTGCTCTGTAATGTTAGGTCCAAAATCATTTATGTTTTTACTGATGGAGCAATCATTTCATCATCATCAAAGCACACTTCATCAGTTACCTTGTCCACATCAGCCGGTAAAGCAATTATATCTGACTCAATCTCCTTAGAAAACGTATATTCTAATGCTTCTTTGTAGATGTTAAACACTTTATGCCTAAACATTCTGAAAAAAAATGAAAAGGGAAAAAAAAACAGTATTAGTTACCGTTAACGCTCAGCGATCTATTTATAGATCAGCATGTTTAATTTAAAAATTTAATACTAAGAACAGTTATTTTTCTAATCTAAATAACTCAGAACAATTAAAGAGGTATCGAAAATATAGAACACATAAGAAAAGTATAATTTACTTTTATTTTGCCCATTGGATACAAAATCGAAAGCTGTGCTATGAAGTATCACTTGGCTAATTCTGCCTGACTGTTCTAGAAAAGAGTGTTTCAAAATGCCTTTGGGGGTATGGCCACATGTGTAAGGAAATCAGCCAGTGACAAAAAGAAGTGATTAAAAGGTATTGTTCTCAATGGTCGTTCTAAAAATAGGAGATCTATAAATAGATTGCTGGGTGGTAACTGTTAATAATATTTTATACTTAAGTTAGTATTATAGTTGCAAAGTATAAAATTTAGAATTTTTTCATAGAACAAGTTTTGTATTACATAAATTAAATTGCATACTAAGACTTTATTTTAATTTTACAGTATGGTCCAACTTACAAGCATTGTAATTTGTGCTGTAGATGTGTGAAAAGTACACATAATCACTGTGATCTGTGTAACCAATGCAGTCTTTTTTGCACATGTCCTGAAATTTCAAGCTGTCATTGCAAATGCAGACATAGTGAAAAAGATAAAAAGACCTCTAATACATGTCATAAATGTTTTGGTATTGGGCATCGCAAACGAAGTTGCCCTTTTGCTCTAAAAAGGTAAATATATATATTAAAGCTTCATATATAACTTTATGAAATTTTCTCATATTCAAAACTTTTGAGTTCTTTGTCCATTCTGTGGTAAAATTACTGCTTGCATGCTTTTGAAATATAGTCGTGTATTATAGTATGTATGGCCAATTTTACTAGTGCTGCAAAATTTGAGCTTTTTTATGAAATATTACAATTTAGTTTTATTTGTCAGTAAAAATAGTTATATTTAATATATATACAATAAAAATAGTTTGTAGTCTGGCAATTAACACCTTTATATAAAGTTTGAGGAAAATTTTGATGCAGGATGTTTTGATACCAGAAATTTGCATGAAAATTTAACGAATAAATTTAAAATTTACAATAAAGATGGTGCTAAACAGTGATTAGCATGTAAGTATGTGCATCGTCATTTATATTATCCCTACCTTCTGTAAAATGTTTGTGCCATATAAACACTGCATTTGCCCTTCACGTCCATGTACTTATCGGATCATTTGCAGAGTCTTGGTTGTCAATTTGCATATTTAAAAAAAACAAAACTGGTGTTTCTTTGCTGTAGAAATTCTGATATGACAGCTTCGTTTATTACTTCTGTTGTTGTTGTTACTTGTGCTTATTTGTCTGACAGTAACATTAGCTCAAGCCTATGAAATTCCTCATGGCAAGGAGTGCAATTTTTATGCCTGCCATTGGCAACAGCCTTGAGCATTTTACAAGTGACAGTACGATTTAGCCCAGTTCCACCCCCAATTTTGGTGGAGAGCACCTCAGGGGAATGAGTCCAAAGGTCTCCCACTCCTCTCCCCTTCCACCAAACCACACAAGAAGACTTTTGGCTCACTGCATATTTAGAGTGCCACCATGCCACTACACATTTACAAACATTCATGCCTTCTCCGGGATTCGAACCCAGGCCCTTCAATACAGCAGTCAGCAGTGCTAACCGCTATACCAGTTGGACAGCTTATCACTTCTATAATGTCTTAACTGTTATTTACACATCCATGAAATTACTCTAATGGCTTGTCTTCAATAAACAATATGCACATGGTTGCAGTTATGTGTAACATGCATTCTAAGATGTAATGAACATTGACATTGCTGATGGCTGACTTATGAAATTTTATGGATGTAACTAATTAGTTATTTTCATCCCATAAAGTTGTTTAGTTAATAAAATCATCTTACATGAAATTTTTTTTAACTTAATTTACAGTCTAAAGCAGTGTTCTACTGTTTGCGTAAACTCTAAAAAATAAAGCTATTGACTTCATTGACCTTATAATGATAACATACTTATAGCCAAAGACTTCACATAGTAATCTTTTATTCATTTCTCTTTCTTAGTTTTGTGAAAATTGAAATTCCTGTAGATGTAACTAATAACATTTTGGTAACTGAATATATTATGATCTTTTATATGTTATATTTGTCCTACATATATTTTGCATATTTTTTAATATAAAATATTATATTCTATGAAGAAAATTAATTCTTTATCATTTTTATGTTTAGGCAAACCAAGAAGAAACAAAACAAAAATTTATGAGCAATGTTTGATATTTATGTTATATAATTAAAATATATGTTTACTGTTTTGTCTTTGTCAAAAGTTTATCTTCAACAGGAACATAAATTTTAAGCATACATTTGTATATTATCAGATTAGTCTATCAGATTCTTGTTTAAAGCTTGTCTAAAGTTTGTGGCATTATTAGAAGGAAAAGAAAGCTCATATTTTTTTCCCCAATATTCTCTAGGAACTTTTCAAAATAAATATAAATTTCATATCCTGCAACAAACATATACTTACAAGTATCCTTTCTGTTGTCAGAGGGCTTGAAAAATACTATAAGAATAACAATAACTCTGTTCATATATAGATTTAGAATTGGGAGCAAATTTAAAAGATTCTAATATCCAAAGCTTTACAGACAAAATAGCCTCTCAAAAAATCTCAAAATCAAAATTTTACAAAATCCTATAAAACATCAATGAAGAAACGTTATTTATATTCCAGCAAAATCAACAAATTATTAACTACTAGCGGGCAAGCCCGCCAGCTGAGCGGGCTGAAGCCCGCTTTTCATTGTTTAATGTTCATGAGTTCTCATGTTGAATTTTGCCAGTATTCGAAAGTTGGAACGAACTACCAGTTGTCAGTGACTTTGCGCGAGCTCCCCCCGCTTTATTCACGTATGCATCCAGAAGACACTGTACACACGATACACATGCGGAAAATCACGAAAATACCCATAGAGCCAGCCCGTTGGCCTTTATTCGAAAGTTCGTCCGAACTACCAGTGCTCAGCGATTTTACCGGGGCTGCGCCCGTTTTATTCGCGTATGCATCCAAAAGATACTGCATACACGTTACACATGCGGAAAATCATGAAAACATACATGGAGGCAGTCCGCTAGCCGGGATTCGGAAGTTGCATCGAACTACCATTGATCAGCAGATTTGCGCGGGCTTCGTCCGCTCTATTCTCGTATGCATCCAGAAGATACTGCTCACATGATACACATGCGTAAAATCACGAAAATACCCTTACAGACAGCTCTTTAACGGGTATTCGAAAGTTGGACTGAACTACCAATGTTCAGCGGTTTTGCATCGGGCTACGCCTACTTTATGCATCTAGAAGATACTGCATACACGATACACTTGCGGAAAATTAAGAAAACATTCATGCAGCCAGCCCGCTCGCTGGAATTCGAAGGATGGACCTAACTACCAGTGTTCAGCGCAGACTGCGCCCGCTTTATTCGCGTATAAGTCCAGAAAATACTGCATACACGATAAACATACCTAAAATCACGAAAATACCCATGATGCCAGCCCGATCGCCTTTATTCGAAAGCTGGACCAAACTACCAGTGTTTAGCGGTTTGTGCGGGCTGCGCCCACTTTATTTACATATGCATTCACAATATACTGCATACACGTTACTCATACTCAAAATTACGAAAACACTGATGGAGCCAATCCGTTTGCCGGGATTCGAAATTTGGACTGAAGTACCAGTGTTCACCGATTTTATTGCTCAGGCTTTTTGCCAAGTGTAACCGCAAAACTTTTCGGGTATAATATTCAAACAGTAGATTCGTTATTAAAACTCCTTTTGATAAACTTCAACGTAATCACACACAAAAGTGCATCAATATATATATTAATGTAATTAATCAACCATAATTATTTATTTAAGAAAATTTCCATATACCATGTTCAAGCAACAGAAATTCATTTAAAACCTGAACGAAAAATAATTAATCAGAATTAATAAATAGTTTATTTATTTATATTTATTTTTTGCAATTAAAATTTCTTATTTAAAATAAAATATAATATTAGCTTTAAGAGCGTTTAATACCCCTTTCTCATGTCGATTTTTAATAACAGATGGCGCTACGAACGTTGAGCGCTAAAGACTCAAATCTGTAAGACTACCTACAGCCCGGTTACTATGGCAACGACGCTTCCCTTTCTTTGTACTCGTTTGGCGGGAAAGTGAGTAAGCCATAAAACACTTAAACACATCCCCTCAGTTGAACAAAAGGACCTGCTGTCATTTCTTCCGTCTGTGACTCAGACTGCGGGGTATGTTTTGAACAGGAATAGAACTTTTCCACTTTTGTGTTGAATGAAAGATATCTATGAGATACGTGCAGCAGTCGCTATTTCTTTTCGCAAAATTTGTTCATCACGCTTTTCAATGTTGCGTAATGTTTCATAATTTGCCGTTATTCTGCGGAAGAAAACAGTTTTTAAAAATAACTAGATTTTTAAGCATTTCGGTAATTTCATCGCGACATAAAAATTATATATAAATGAATTTATACTTGATGATATGTGTATACATATATAGCATGCACATAATATTCCATTTACTTATCCATCCATAATATTCCATAAATATGTGTTAGCACTTTCCAAAGCTTTATATATATTTTTTACTTGTATTATAAAATCGTATAACACTCCTAACTATTATTTTTTTATTTCAAAAGTGGATAAAATCATTATCAAATTTTTCTAGTACACGGCACATTATCTGAGATCCGCTTTGAATGAAAACTACATAAAGTGTTATAATGAACAATCATTTTCAAGATTTCACTTGATACTGAAATGCATAAAATCAAATTGCGTTTCTATGTTTCAGGTTTATAAAATACAGCTGATAATTGAAGGGGGTAAAGTACAAGCTGATAATACATGATAAGGGGAAGAAATTCCTAAATTACAAAATTGAATATTATATTTTACTAAAGTAAAATGATACATATTATAGATACATCCTAAAAAACGATAAATATAATATATATATATATCGTATATATATATATTGTATATCGTATATATATATATTGTATATCATATATATATATATTGTATATCGTATATATTATATATTTATATGTATATGTACTCTTTTCCGGATGCAACTGTAATTACGTACTGAGCTGGTTTATCATCTTCCTGTAGCGACGCATTTGGATTTGCTGTGAATGAATTTGTTTCATTGAACAGGAACAAATAGGAAACAGAATATTGAAAATTGAATTTGTTTTAAGCATTAGTAATTTATATATGTTAGATTGACTAAAAAGAGTATATTCATGCATAACGTATAAATAAGCGAAGTGAATACTTTTTGGCAATCACCTTTCTAGGATGATCATTTTTGAAAATAACCAGTACTGTTGATAACATAAACACCGGTACGATCTATCTGCCTAAGGAAAAGGATGCCTTCGTGGAAGACTTTCTAAGGGGAATTGTCTCCTATACACGTTACACAGGGTAAAACCACGAAAGCGCAGCCAGTCGGACCGAGCTACTGGTGTTCAGCTACTTTACTGCTTCGTGCCTCATTTCAGAGCGGATTCGCTATATATGAAACAGAGCAATGTGCTGTTACCGTATTTAGCAGCCTGCCTTTTTCCTTGACCTACCATAAAAAAATAAAATAGCAAAATTATAACAGCGTTTCTAAAAAAGATGCTTTGCTATATTCTCATTAAATCTTTATCATTCTGCGCTACTAAAAACGAAGTACGATTATTTCAAATTCAAAATTTTATAACATTACTTTACAGAAAGTGATCTCATGTCTTCTAAAAATGAAACCCCACATCTGTTTCTATCCAAGCGGCTTACTTTCTAGACAAAGTAATTTCAGTGTAACGTACGTTCAGTTTTTATCTAACTTTGAACGGAAAAAAAAAAAAAAAAAACTATGTACATAACAGGCAAAGATATTAACAACACATAAATTTACTCAATTATATTGGATTACCAGAGGAGAAAAAAATAATCCGATGAGATAATTCTCTGAGAATTCATAAACGCTAAATTAAGAATAAATTTTATAAAATGTTTACTAATGAATACATGTATTTGCATAGTAAGTTTCCTTTTTTTAAAATTTTTCCATCTATTATATCACGTTTATCGGAGTGTCGTATTTGACTTCACAATTATGCTCCGAAATTTCATTGCTGTAGATTGGATGATTACCAATATATAATCCTACTAGTAACCAGAGCCAGTATTAGAGGTTTTTGCTGCTCACTACAATATCTGTGGCTCCTTACTTCTGCCACGCGCCGCCAGTGGCCTGAGTGGTTAAGAATATTGATTACTGGAAGTTAGACCTGGTTTCGGTTCGATCCCAGGCGAACCAGCTGGCTGCATGGTTTGTTTTTCCTGTTGTGCAACATGAATACGAGCCAGTTTCCTTCAGCAATTAGGCTCACCCGCGCCCAAGCGGTTAAATCGCTGAACACTGGTAGTTCCGACCTGGGTTCGAATCAAGGCGAACGGGCTGGCTACATGGGCGTTTTCATAATCTTCCCCGTGTGTAACGTGTATGTCCACCACGGGATCCTAGAGCTTTGCTATAAACTAAACTAAGCCTTCAGAAACTTCCTCCACGAAGGCATCTGCTATCTGCCACCTCGTGGCTTTGCTATATTCAAAGAGCCTAACCCAATTCTAGCACTCAGTTCCTCTCTAAATTCTAGCGGGCGAGCGCTAAAGTCGCCTATTACTGGTAGTTCAACAACCTCGGCACATTATCTGAGTTCAGCTTTGAATGAAAACAACATAAAGTGTTATAATGAACGATTAGTTTAAAGATTTCACTTGATACTGAAATGCATAAAATCAAATTGCGTTTCTACATATCAGATTTATAAAGTACAGCTGATAATTGTAGGAATATCAGGTTCATAAAGTACAGCTGATAAATACATAAGTGGGAAGGAATTCATAAATTACAGAATTTAATGGTTGTAACGAAAATTTTAAGCACGAACGTTCTTCATAAAGTTAATGAAAAAAAAAAAAAAAAAAGCAGTCAGTACCTTTAGTGCGGGTAGTAATCACTACCAAAAATCTATGCTTTTCTGCCAATGTTTTGGTAGTTTTTCAAAACCTTCGGCCCGGAAACTTGGTGGCCCGAGTCCAAACACAGGTCAACCTCATTTCGACGTCTTGTGCAGAAGTGAAGATAGGACCAGCAAGATGTAGCTGCAAGTGTGAAAAAAGGTAGAAGTCCGAACGTGCGATGTCGGGGTTATATGGTGGGTGTGGTGAAAGATCCCTTTCGAGTCCGTACAGATGCCAGCCGGTGAATGCAGACACGTATGGTATTATCTTGATGGAACGTTACCTTTCTGCGCCGGAACTCAATTCGACTCTTTTCCTTGATAGCAGCGTCAACATGCACTAGCATCTCGTTGTATCCTTTACTGTCAAGGGTTTTACCTTTTTTTTCCATATACTATTTGTGATTAATACCACGGCAATCCCACCAAATACAAAAGAATGATCTTTTTGTTAGTCAAATTACGCTTTACGATGCTGCCGACGGACTCACGGGCGCAGATCAACTAAATTTTTGGCCTATGTTGTTAAAATAAATTTATTTTTCAACACAAGTGACTATCTGGTCCAGAACTTTAATTTTGCGTTGATATTCGAGAAGAATAGTACAGGCTCGAACACGTCTGACCTTATCTGCTTGAGTCAGCTCATGCGGCGCACAGCTGACGTTTATGTGATGCATAGTGCGACTAATGGAGAGTTTCATTTTTATGGGGCCCACCAGCGGCCGAGCGGTAAAGTCGCTGAACACTGGTAGTTCGGTCCGAGGTTCGAATCCCGCGAACGGGCTGGCTGCATGGGCGTTTTAGTGGTTTCCCCTTGAGTAACGTGTATACGAGCCAGTTTCCCTTAGAAAGTCCTCCACGAAGGCATCCCTCCCCTTAGGCAGATAGCCCTAGTGTGCTTTGCCATAATTAAATACACCAACACCAACCATTTTTATGGATAATACCACGGCAATCTCACCAGATCCAAAGCATGATCTTTTCGTTAGTCAAATTACGCTTTGCGACGCTGGCGACAGGCTCACCGGGCGCAGAGCAGCTCCCTTTTCGACCTGTATTGTTTGTGTAAACTTGTCTAACTTTGAACAAAAAAAAAAAAAAAAAAAAAAAAACTATGTATATAACATGCAAAGATATTACAGAACATAAATTTACTCAATTTTATTGGATTACCAGAGGAAGAAAAAATACTCAGATAACTCTCTTAGAATTCTTAAACGCTAAATTAAGAATAAATTTTATAAAATGTTTACTAATAAATACAAGTATTTTAAATAATAAATTTTTCCATCTCTACATAGGTACCGACGTTTATCGGAGTGTCGCATTTGACTTTGCAATTAAGCTCCGAAATTTCCTTGCTGTAGATTGCATGATTACCAATATACTTACAATCCTACTAGTAACCAGGGCCACTATTAGGGATTTTTGCTACTCACTACATTATCTGTGGCTCCTACCACACGCCACCAGTGGCCGAGTGGTTAAGACTACTGAATACTGGAAGTTCGAACTGGTTTGTGTTCGATGCCAGACGAATCAGCTGGTTGCATTGTTTGTTTTCACCGTGTGTAACATGAATACAAGCCAGTTCCCTTCAACAATTAGGCCCTCCCGCGGTAGAGGAATTAAATCGCTGAACACTGGTAGTTCCGACCTGGATTCGAATCAAGGTTAACGGGCCGGCTGCATAGACGTTTTCATAATTTTCTCCATGTGTAACGTGTATGGGAAGCCAATTTCTCTAAGAAAGTTCAACATGAAGGCATCCTACTGTGCTTTGCCATAATAACCTAATCTAAGCCTTCAGAAAATTCCTCCACGAAAGCCTGCCATCTTAAGAAGGTAACCCTCGTGGCTTTGCTACATTCAAAGAGCCTAACGCAATTCTAACAATCAGTTCCTCCCTAAATTCTAGCAAGCGAGCCGCCGAACACTGGTAGTTCATCCGGAGTTCAAGCCTCGATGAACGAGTTGGATGCATGACCGATTTTGGTGTTTTCCAAATTCACCTGCTTTGGCGTAATCAAACTCTATAATTCTAAACAAACTGGCGTTCGGTTCGGTTCGGCTCCAACGGCTCTAGCACCACGTTCCAAATTATAATTACAGCTCAACAAATAAATGTCTGGCGTATACATTCGAATAATCTAAGTAAAAAAAAAAAAAGGCTTTTTAATTTCTTCCTCAACCAAGCATGCATGCACATAAAGCAAATAAAAAAAAACTTATGGAGTGCAATAGGCTTCTAATCCATAACATATTTAGTTAGTGATCGCCATAATTGGGAGCTATAAATACGCTATATTGACGGGAAGGAGAAAATTTTACTTCCTGAGTGAGCTAATTCAGAACTAGTGTTATTTCATCTGTCATCTTAAATTTAAGATGCCTAGTTACGTGACTAACAAAAACCTAGTATTTATATGAAGCTTGATAAAAATCAAAGTTTTGAAGACGGTATATGTGATCACGTTCGGTTGATTACCATTATGATCAGCAAATAACAGCAATTTACTGATGTCTTTCTTATCTTTATATTCAGATGTAGTTTTCAGGGCAACTAGAGAAAATTTATTAATTACTTTTATTATTTTTGATACTTTATACGTACGAAGATACATACTTGTAGGAAGAGAGATCTAAACTATTATATTCGAACAAATAAAAATAAATCGTGACGTGAAGACCCTAGAGATACGGCTTCTGATTGCTATTCAAATTTTTTCCGTATTAGTAAGCGATATAATCGAATAATCTTTCAAAGATTATTGTTTACCGATTTTAGGTAACAACTAGAAAACATTTTTTCGAACTTATCCTCAAACAAGTTTGCTATTGGTAATGAATACTGCTGTATCATGAATCAGGTACGGCGCTATGCATTTTGCTGACTTTGTATGCAATAAATTCTGTTGTCAAGTGCCCTTCCCCCAAAATTCTAAAATTTTATTGCTTGATGCTTCGCTGAATTTTACAATTCTGCCGTACCGGCAGTGATCATGATTTCAAATCCCCCCTCCCCGAGATTTACTGTGTTATCTGAAAAACAGCTCACAAGTTGCTAAAAATAGCTATAAAACTGGTTCCACAGCTTTTAGCAACGGCCTCCCGTTGTGCGTTGTGGAAACTCAGCTTTTGAAAGAAAAGGAAGGGGAATAATTTCTCCCTGACTACAGTATAGATCAGGTCCGTGACTTTGTTTGAGCTACTGCAAAATGTTCTGAAGTAAACTTTTTTCTGTTTCGGCAACATTCATCTTGAGAATTCAACACCTGTTCATTAGCCCTTAGTAATTGACAGAAATGCTTTTAGAAAGTAGTGGGTTCATTGATACCAACAAAATGGTTGGTATCAATGAACTGGGGATACGTTAGTTTCAGTTGTTGAGTTCAAATGAACCTTTCAAATACTAAAATAGTCCCTTTGCATAATCGAAAGGATTTCATCTGAGAATAATTTTTCTACTTAAAAATGAGTTTTGCAGTACTTTTTAAATACTACTTGTATTTTTATTTTCGAAAATTTTCATAAATATTGTAATTAATTATTTCCAATTTTAATAACTCGCAGAAAAAACACAATTTTCAAGAAATTTTTTTATTATGGTTATTCAAACTTATACTAATATACAGCATCTTTTATATTCCTTATACATTTGACACTGCATGCTTCAACCTGCATGTAAGTTTCTCTTCCTTAGTAACTCCTTACCCAGAGACGTCTCAATGAAAGCCAAATCATGCACAAAATTTACACCTGAAAAAAAAAAAAAAAAAAAAAAAATATGATAAAATATTTTTAACACCATATTCTCGACAACAGAGTACATCACATACCCCCCCCCCAAAAAAAAAGAAATTACAAGAAATACAAATTTCTAACAGAAAAATGCATTTTCAAACAGCTGAAATTGTTTCACAAATTAATAATGCAGATAGCAAATGTAACATATGGCACTATTGCCACTCAGTGCAATCTCTGCATATCCTAAATTCTGCTGGCTGATGTCTTCGTAAGTTCTGAACATTTTTTTGCCTCTAAATTCTGCTGCTCAGTGCCCTCTGCTAAATTATAAAATTTTGCTATGCACTATTATCTAAATTCTAAAATTTTGACTACCACTGGTTGCACAGGCCCTGATCAAAGCAAAGAGGCAAGATGCTACCTGCTATTGATAAACTGCCTTATAAATACCACAGATCTAAATAAATATCAGTTTTATTTCCAAAACAGAATTATCTCACAGCTAAAGCATTGCCTTTGCAGAAAATCTTCTAAATGGAAATAGAATTGCATCCACATTACATGTGCAGAATCCCAATAATTCATTATAAACATAGTTTCCAAACCATAGTTAGGCTTAGAACCCACAACAGTATTCTTCTTGGAAGTCTTCCTAAGGAAATGGTAGTATATTCAGGGAACATGTGGGCAAAATCATGACAGTATATCACAAGCCTAATTCTTGACCATACATACTAGAAAGATCACAGAAATTCCTCAGGGGAAGCTAGATTCATATAACAAAATTTCATGCAACATATGGCATATGGGAAAAAGCAAGGCACATTATAATCACTAGCATAGTTTATACCCAAATGAGTTGCAGATGGTGCACTATGTGCTCACAGCTGATTATCACTAATGCAGATATATATCTACTAATATTTAGAAGATGATGTCAGATCAGAATTGCATGAGAAATAAATCAAAAAACATCAATCAGATGCAGGAAATTGGTTTCAATCTGAAACAGCAGATGGATAATTGAAAAGGTTAGTAGAATTACCTTTTTTGCAGAAGCAGTATCTTCACAGAGGATATCCTAAGAGAAAACTAATATACACATCACGCTTGATTTATACCATAGTACCACAACATAAGAATAAGTTAGACCCTTTATACTCCAGTCTTTCAACAGTAGTAGTGATTTTGAGATCTTCCTCACAGAAATGGCTGGCATTCATGTTACATAGGAGTAAAACCACAATACTTCACTGCAAGCGCAGTTTACAGCAATAAATGGAAAGAAAGGTCTTCAGAGATGTCACTGAGAAGCCAAATGGCTAAACGGCAAATTCAAGTTAGAATTTTCAATAATTAATGTTGGCCAGATTAATTTGGAATAATTCTGCCTTCATATGTTTATTCACCTCACCAAACTCTTTATTATTAAACAATATTTACAAAAATATATGTAGTTTATAACAAAAATTCTACAAATTCAAATACAGAGATTTCAAAATACAATATTTGTACTGATACAATAAAGCTAAAAAAATACTTATTCACACACCCAGAAAACTCAAATATACAATTGTTATTCAGAAGAAATGCAGTAAACAAAAAAATAAACAAGAGACAAGAGACTTATAAAAGATAAATACAGTCAAAAGTCGTTAATTCGGACACCCATAATCCGGAATGATCTATAATCCAGACCTCAAAGCTAAAATCTTTCTGCGCATGCGCCGCGTTGACGCATGCGCATAGGCGTTCACGCGTGCGCTCAAGACCTTTACGACTGCGCATATGCGTCTGTGCCGTTGTATAAATGTCATAATTCCCAACTAACAACGCTTCGTAGTCAGACCTTGCTATGTCACAAAAACTAGTTTGGGCATTAAGCTTGAAGTTTTCAACTTTGTGCCGACTTGATATAAGAGTCGGCCAATCAGAGCATATACATGAAACTTATTGAGAGAGAAAGCTGTAGACACATACATGCATGCACAAATTTAGCTTCTCTAATTGGCTATGGCTTAGACCCTCTCTCGCAGGTGTGAATGGAACTCCCACATTTTATGCCTTATGATTATGCGTCTATGACATTTATACCATCATCTGAACAGAGCCTTAGGATGGCATACTAAGAAGATGCAATGTCTTGTGGGGATAAGCAATTTATACTCCTAAGCCTAAAAAAAAAACTTGGGGGAAAAAAAGATCACATGACTTAAATTTGTTGTCTAATTGCTCTAACTTGAGGCACATTACGAGAGGAAAGCAAAGGTAGTAATCAGAATTATTTAAAAAATTTTATCCTTATATTTTTCTTAAAAATTCTGTAAAATAATAAAATTTTTGGCTTTCCTCAAATAAATATATATGGAAAAAATAATAGCCACATAATCACAGATTTCATTTTGTTATATTTTATTAACAAAATTTAAATTATTAAAAATCTCTTTCATGAAGGGAACATAAAACATCATGAAAACAATGAAAAAGAAGCAATATTTAAAAAAGATAGTAGGCTTATTGATGAGGCTCCCATCAAAAGAATCGAACCCCAAAATATTTTTCATTTGCTTCAGTGTCCCGTCTGAAAATTTCACTGATTTCAATGAATATATATTTTTAAAAAAATCTTTTATTTTCAAGTTCTTTCATGCAAAACGTCCAAATTTGGTACAAATCAAATTCATCCCCCTCTTTTTGATAGCTACAATATTATATTTAACAGTTTTAATAGCTATCAGTATGTAAACAACATAATGTAACACCATAAAAGAAAAACATAAATGATGACATTTTAATTTTGGCATAGAGAAATACATATTTACCCCAAAAGAGAGCTTGTATTTCTACCTTCTACCTTCTACGTCAGAGTCAATAACTGAAATGTCCAGATCAGAACTGAGAAGAAAAGAA